AGAATTAGATGCCTGTCAGTATATATATATATATATATGGCTAGACGAAACAATTCACCTAACGTATTTATCACAGCGGGCAGAACTAGAAATTTATACGAACTAAGAACCAAAGAAGCACAATAAATTACTCAAGTTCAACATGACTAAAACAACGTAGACGCGTGGATAAAGATAGAAGTGACCTTTGACATTACGATGGAAAACTTTGATGGTACAGAGACCCGTTAGCTCATAGGTATAAATTTACTACACCAACTAATCCAAATAATCGATAAAAACAAGTTACAGGTCTTTAAATAGACGACGATCTCATAATCTTAAGAGACATTAATAGGAAATATTGATAAAAACAGAAAATAAACTATTATAAAATTATTTAAAAATATGCGATTCCGCATAGACGTAAAATCTAACCTAAAAGAAGTAGATTTTCTAGATGTCACCTTCAATCTAAGAAAAGGTTCATATGAACCCTACAAAAAAAAACTAATGACAAACCACTGTATATACAAAAATCTTGCAACCACACATCATCAACAATCAAGCCGATGACACAGTCAATTAACCGCAGGTTTTCTGACAATTCTTCAATTGAAACCTCTTCAACGAAGCTAAGAAAGATTCTGAAACAGCTCTAAAATATAAAGGATCTTCATCGAGACTCGTATACACAGAACACACACACATAAAAAAAACATCAGGAAAAGAAACATCATAAGTTTCAAACTGCTGTACAACAATAATGTAAAAGTAAAGGTAGGAAAAATATTAAATTAAAAACATACATAAAAGCATCACTCAATCAAGGCCTCTGCACAAGATATTCAACAAAAACACAATTAAAATCAGCTTCCGTTGCACAGAGTACATGACACAAATAATAAAAAAAAAGGAACACCAGGAAAACAAGTAACAAACCATTCGCAAATATCAAACGCCCTACTTTACGTGTGAAACCACGATCGGACCCGGAGTTCTTAAAGCATTTAGCTACTAAGAACCTTACAATAAACTAAGGCACTATTTTGCATATAAAGTAAAGTTAAAATACTGTTCTGATTTACCCCAAACAGGTACCTTGCTCAGATTTGCATCCGAAACGTAAACAAAGCGTTTTCTAAAGAATTAATTGATATAATCTTTGGATCCGAGATATTTTTAACACTCCAAAAGTCATTTTGACTAGAAATCCCTGTTTGAGTAGACGCTAGGTTTATTTTCAACATTATATGTTTTGTCTGCTGACCTGCATAATTGAGAAAACTTAAAAAAGAAAATGTGCCCAACAGCAGCATTCGAAGTTGCACCTCACATTGCAAGAAGATTCCCCGTCTGATTCAGAATAAAAAACAAAAAAACATAAATTCCAATTTGTATACGAAATGTAAAAAAGCAATTTATATATATATATATATATATATATATATATATATATATATATATATAAAAGTCATCAACAGATAGACTGTTTCGCTGTATCACAGCTCAACAGTCTGAGAAGACATCCGATTTCTTCAAGCCGGGATTTAAACTCGCCCCTTTGACATCATTCAGAGACTCTTACCTCGTATCTGCGTACAGCAGAGAAACAGAATTTTTAACATGCGTGATATTTTATAATACGCGATATATAAACCACATACCAGCCACCACAGCGTTCAATTCTTACGAAGAGCGATGCGTTAAAGCAGGAGCAGCAGCAGCAGCCTTTAAATATTTCCTTTTTCTTCATAGTGTTCATTCGGCGAACGAGAGCATACATAGTCATCCACAGATATATATATATATATATATATATATATATATATATATATATATTTAAAAAATAGATCTTTCAATCACGCTAACTTGGTTTCAAACTTTCGGTATCCTCAGGCGATAAGGAACTGATGAAAAAAGCAAGAGTATTGAAACTGTATTGGAAAAGTACTTTTTGAATTTCTGTTTGTACGAACCATGGTGATAGTATGTACATTTTTTTTTTATTCCCACATCAGTACAATTTCAGTACTCTTGCTTTTCGCCTTCCCTTTTATTACACATATATATATATATATATATATATATATATATATATATAATGAAGCGTTATGAAGTCATTTGACCATTATCGCCTGAGGATACCGAAAGGTTGAAACCAAGTATATATATATATATATATATATATATATATGTGTGTGTGTGTGTGTGTGTGTGTGTGTGTGTTTGCCTGCGTACTTAATGTTTGTGTGTTATGTGTGTGCGTATGTTTTTTGTGTTGTGTGCGTGTCGAGGATTTCTGACCTCGGTAAATGAAATAAATGCTGTTTTACATGTAAACCAGCTCCTCTGACGCAAGATAGTCTTCTCTCATTTTTTTCATGTGCTTGATTAAACTCATGAAATTCAATGTTTATTTATCCGTCTAAGTATATTTCATTCTATCTATCTATCTATCTATCTATCTATCTATCTATCTATCTATCTATCTCTGAATTTCTGGTTGTTGAGTTAGCTATTTTTTTTCTATTTCTGGTTGCATTTTTTATTTAGTTAATAAAAACAATTAATACTCTCTAATTTTGACATGATTTCAAATTAAAACGATATTACTCTCCAAAATAATCTTCGATAGGTTCCTTCAATTTCTCTTGTTCCAGGTTAGATCGAAGGTTCAATATGTATAAGCTCTAGATATCAGACTAATTGTAGTCAATCGTATAACAACATTGGAAAAGCTCTATCTAACGTGTTATGATTCTGAAAAGGAGTTTATCAGTTTTAAGTTATTGGTTAAACATCACTTCACCAAACATAACAAAAAATAATTTTTAAACTGCTTTTTGGTCGAGTCAAGAACATTTCAGATCCCTTTGTATATTCAGTAGACAAAAAGAAATAGTGAGAAAGATAGCTGGCTAAAAGGAAATGTAATATTGAGAGTGTGCAGGCCATGAGATGGGTCTTGCATCAGTTTGGGAAAGATCGACTCAGCTGTTGGATCTGAAGAATATTAATAGTTGTCTAAGGAGGTCTCATGTTTTATTATCTTCCTGTGGATAAGGCCAGTTTTCTCCGTTCTCACGTATGACTTGCAAACTTGGTCGCATACAAGCGACTGGCGAGTTCGCAACGTTAAAAAAAATGTAGATCTATTATTCTATTGATTCAACTTATGTATACCATAAATTTCATCGTCAGTTTGACATCTTTTGTCGTATTTTTTCCGTATTTCTTTATTGATTACGATATTTATTTCTTTCCTTTTCGTTTAACATTATGCAACTCAGTGTCTTTAATTGTATTTTTCTTGTATTTTATATACCTCTTATCACATAGGTCATAATATTTTTAGGTTTTTCTTTTTCTACTTTTTCTTTTATTTCTTTATCTTTTTCCACTATATGTATTTATTGATGTATTATTTACTCCTTTTCTTTGATCGTCTTTATTTCCCTTTCTATTCTGCTTGCTTACGGCTATATCATGTAGAAATATTCGTTCTTGTAAGGTCACTGAAATTAAGCAACGACGAACCTGATCAGTACCAAGATAAATGACCGCTTGTAAACACAATGTGCTGTAAGCTTGGGTGTGCGGATGGTGTATTGAATATTGCAAGATATAGAGCCGGGTTCCATTTCCGGTCAGATTCGTTATACACACTTGGGCGCAAATACATTTGGAAAAGTTAAGAATCCACCGCTTCCTCACAAGGAATTGGTTAATTAGTAAGACTTGTTGCAGTAAATCCTTATTGTCTCAAAATAATTGCTACAGTCTAACATAGTTATGGTGGTTTAAATAACCTGAAAAGGGTTGGTAAGTTGTAAAAAATAAATAAATAAGTCAATTTTATTTTGCTTTAATTCTGTTGTTTTCTAAAATATCATGGTTTACTTATTTTCATTCTTAATAGTTTTTCATTCTATAGTTCACTTCTTTCTTTCCTTCTTTCTTTCTTTCTTCCTTTCTTTCATTCCTTCTTTCTTTCTTTCTTTCTTCTTTTCCGTCTTTCTTTCTTTCTTTCTTTCTTTCTTTCCTTCTTTCTTTCTTTCTTTCTTGCTCAGAATTTCTTTCTTTTTTCCTTGTTTTCTACACATACTTTCTTTTATTTTATTTTCTTTCTTAAGAATTATTTAATATTTAAGAAATTAAATTAAATGAATATATATTTCAGAATCTTCCAGAATGTTTCTCTTTCTGCACAATTTGGATCTTCCTTTCAATGACTGTGCACATTTTTCTTTCTTTGAATAAGTGTTGTTTATTTTTTGAAGAATGCTTTTTTTCATTCTTTCATTCTTTCTTTCTTCAAATTAGTTATTTATTTCGGAATGATGTTTTTCTTTAAAATTTCTTTCTTTGTATTTTTTATTTTTCTTTCTGCCATTATATAATTTTTTTCGTTATCTTTTACTGTTCTTCAATTTCTTTTGATTAAAAAGTATTTGTAGCAGCAAAACTTTATTATCTTCAAATACTGTTACAATCAAACATATATTTTGACTTTAAATAATCTGCAAAGGGTCGATAAGCTGTAAAAATCAAATCAATTTTATTTTGCTTTCATTTGCTGGTTTTCTAAAATATATTGCTTTACATATTTTCAGTTTATTTCTTTATTCAAAGCAATCTTTGTTTCCTACACTTTAGCATACAGTTAATTTTTTTCTTTCATTTTTCTTTCTTTCATTCATTGCTTGTTTATGTAATTGTTTCTTTCTTTCCTTCGTTCATTTTTTCGTTCTTTCTTTCTTTCCATAAATATTTCTCTTGTTTTCTTTCATTCTTCAAAATTTCTTTCTTCTTTTCAGAATATTAACCCTTTGCTATAGTTCTACAGAGAAAACTCTTTCTCTTCTTCATTTTCAAAATTGACTTCTTCATTCAGAATTAATTTCTTTCCGTATTTTCGTTTTTCAAAGAATATCGTCTATGTCCTTTCTTTTTTTTTAATGACTTTATTTATTTATTCAGAATTATTATTTTCTGAATGTATTTCTTTCCTACAGAATATGGTTCTTTTTCGTTGGTTTCATATTTTTTCGATTTTTTTTACTTTCTTCATTTTCTTCCCTTTCTTCATTTTCTTCACTTTTTCATTTTCTTTCTTCATTTTCTTTCTTTCTTCTTTTTTTTCACTTTCTTCATTTTCTTTCTTTCTTCATTTTCTTCACTTTCTACATTTTCTTTCTTTCTTCATTTTTTCTTTCTTCACTTTCTTCATTTTCTTCATTTTCTTCACTTTCTTCATTTTATTTATTTCTTCATTTTCTTTCTTTCTCATTTTTTTTCACTTTGTTCATTTTCTTCACTTTCTTCATTTTCTTCACTTTTTTATTTTCTTCACTTTCTTCATTTTTTTTGCTTTCTTCACATTTACGTTCTTTATTTTATGCAGAAACTCTTCTTTCATTTTTTTTAAATTTTTTTCTTTAAATTTGTTTCCAGAATTGTTTTCTTTCATTAGAATCTCTTTCTTTCCTTTAAATTTGTTTTCAGGATTATTTTTTATTCTTTTTGTGTCTTTCATTCTTTTCCCTATTCTAGGAATCTTTCGTTATGTTCTTTTCTTTTGTTCACGTTTTCTTCATTTCTGTCCTCTTTATATCCATTTTTAATATTTTGTTCGAGTTTAGTATTTCCTTATTTAATAACTTTTTTTCTTTTCTACGTGCCCTGCTTCTTTCTGTTTTGTTTTCACTTTGACTTTTATTCATTTTCTTCCGATCATTATGTTTCTATTTTCTTTTTATTCACGTGTGTGTATATGCGTGTGTGTTTATATGTGTGTGTGTTTGTATGCGTGTGTGTGTGAGCGCGCGCATGCGTGTGTGAGTGCTCGTATTTCTCTCTCCATTTATTCCCGTTTCCTTTCATTCTTGTTACATTTATTTTCCTTAACATGGCTCCCTCGGTCGATTTGCTTCAATGTTTATTTTTTGATCTTTGTTATTTTCCTTCCCACACACGCCTTCTCCCTACCTCCCACATAAATGATCGATGTTCAAAAATGGCGGAGAAAAAACATGACAGCCGTTTGCCTTAGAGCCTGACAATTTCGCATGTGACTTTCGTTTTCAATTAAGATCGGTAAGTGACAAGAGTGGTGATCTCTACTGAAGAAACCAAAGCCACCCACTAACAGAAAGTTTATCATGCTCTCTATTTCTTTGAAATGTTTTTTCGCTTTATTTTTTTTTAACTCGTTTCTCTCTCAGACTATTTTTGCAATAACTCTCCGCGATCTCTCAACTGACATGGCCAGAAATGTAAAGAATGTCACATGGGGTTCGATTATATCACGTGAGATGCAGCTATAATGAGGTGCTCTATTTGTTCAGTGTTGCAGTACTTGTGTATGAAATAATAATGTGAACAGTACGAATAATTGCAAGAACAAAATCCAGAAAGATAACAAATGTTCGAATAGAAGACATAGAAAATGGAATAAATTTTTATAAAAATGGAAAATATCTGGATCTTGTAGGAGAATTAAATAATTTAAAAATGTGTAAGAGACAGTTGTACACATCACTATTGGTAGGTTTGGAATTGAGATTGCAATTCTGCAGAAGAATCAAAGCCATTCAAAAGAACTTTTCTAAAAGAAGACTGATTTGATTTTATAAGGTTAATCAACCCTCTATTTTTAAATTAAAGTCGAGTTATTCCGTTGATTGTGAAAATATTTCTTTGTGAGTAAATATCGCATTAAATATTTTGTGGGAATAAATATAATTTTCGAGTTAAAAGTCCTGCAGTTTAGAGAGAAGGATTCATAACTTTCCTAAGGTAACTATAAGCGCGTAGGACAATATAGTGATCGCGAGAGGGATTCGAAATCTGCTGACAAATTTCTAATTCCGAAAAGCTGTTATGGGATCATGGATGAAAGCAAGCATATTTCACTGGATTGGAATTTGAATGCTAAAAATCATTCTTCTTCCTCCATTAGTAGTAGTAGTAGTAGTAGTAGTATTACTACTACTACAACTACTAATGATGATGATAATAATAACATTAAAAATATTTCACATATATAAAGGCATCCACCATTTCTGTGCATATATATATATATATATATATATATATATATATATATATATATATATATAATGTATTTACTCTGCATATAAATATTCTATATCTTTTACACCGAGCACTGTTTTAGCAGCGTTTTCATTATAAGTTATATTAAACAATATATATATATATATATATATATATATATATATATATATATACAAATGCATATATATACAAATTTAAAAAGTAAGTGATGCGATCTTTTTAGATGTTTCGTATTTTCCATAAATATGTGATTGAATTATTTAGTCCATGACACTTTGACTGATAAATCACTTACAACAATCAAATTCTCTCAGTTAAATTTTCAAAATTCAACCTTAGCTTTGATACTTCACGCGCCACAATTCCGTAACTGTTAACAATGACGCAATTCAAACATATATTTCAACTTGCATTACATTTATTTTCGTCTTGGATAAAAAGAACAATAATATCCATGCCCGATGGTAATAGCATGTTCCATCGAAAATAGTAGTATATTAATGGAACCCTAGTAATTTAATTTAATTCGCTGTATTAACAATTTAATTCGATGTATTAGTGAAGATATCTTGGCGGTCGACACCGCGGTCGTGCTTCTGACCTATACCTATTACCTATATATATATATATATATATATATATATATATATTTTGTGGGGGGGTGTGCGTGTGTGTGTGTGTGTGTGTGTGTTTGTGTGTGTGTGAAAGAGAGAGAGAGAGTGAGAGAGAGAGAGTGTGTGTGTGTGTGTGTGTATATGTATTAACTAAAGCCTATCTCTTTAATGTGTTCTAATTTTTCATTGTTGTATACAGATTCTCTTTCTGGATGGACAATTTCAGTCATTATAGATGTAATTATATATATATATATATTGATTGTGGACTGAAAAGCTTGTAGCCTGATTATGAATCACTGATGATAGAGCTGTAAGATCTTTCATGCATTAATTTCAAATCGTCTTATGCATAACTGCGTTGCTTCTTTCCACGTAAACTGGCAGCTGCGATCAAAGACGACGTCAAAATAAGGATTACCGACATCTCTTGAAAATGGACAAAATTTTGCAATGTTATCAAGCACTTTCAGAAAAGGGGTTTTTGTCCCAAAAGACGTTTATGCTTACATGGCTCCTACATTAGGAGGTGATGCTACAGCTTTATCAACAACGAAAATTTGGGCATGCGAATTCAGGAGTGGATTGGAGAGTCTTGATTTTGACCCATGTTCTGGACGTTCTACAATTGCTACCACCGAGGTTAACATTGATCTTTTAAAAAACATGGTGACGAATGACAGGCTCTTGGCTATAAATAAAATAGCCAATACTATTAGCATATCCCGTGTGAGAGTTGAAAATATTCGGCACAATATATTTGGCATGACGAAGATTTCTGTTGTGTGTTTTCTAATGCTATTTTAAGCGGATCTATTTCATGTGAGGGGATATCTCTATCTATAAAATCAGGATGTGTGTGTGTGTGTGTGTAACGAATGCACGACCGCCATTTTCGACGGATTTGCACCAAAATTAACATGCACAAACTCCAAGTTAGCGGCAAGAACGACTTTGCATTTCCAAACTCCCATCGATAGTGGAAATAGTCGATTTTATACTTCTTGTTTCGTAACAGATTTAATGTTTACTATAGAGCTTAGAAAAAAATCGCAGTGTGAGATAGGCTAGAAGTAAGGCATGTAGCAACATCAGCACGGCTAAGGGCACTCCTTTAAAGGCAAGGAAGGGCAAAAATATTTTAAGTCAAGTGATAGCGATTGGTGTATGAGTCGTACGATTTTTGAATCAAACACGGGCAACGCCGTGCCATGCTGCTAGTCTAAAATATATAGAGAATGAAAACAACGCGCTATTTGTCAAAGCAGTGGCGTGCAGATGAATTAAAATATACATAAGATAATGTTGGAGGTTTCTTATCAATTTTGAATATAAACGTATATATCAGTAACGTATAAATGCTTCCACGAATTCAAGATTTTCGAGATTCCACTAAAATGCATAGAATAATGTAATAACAATTACACAGAGAACAACATGTTGACTTAATCTACAGTGAAAGCTGCCAAATTATGCTGGTGTGTTAATTCTATGACAAAAGAAAATACAATATTTGCTACTAATAAAAATAATCTGCACTCATAATAGACAATATTTATCTATTTATCAGATATATCATCATCTTCAGCATCATCTTCGCTTTTGTAGCCGTAGGGGGGATCTGGTTGCAGAAACCATAAATATTTGGCTTCTCTGGCTTTCATTGGGTTTGTAGATATCTTGGAGGCGCCCACCTCTTCCTCATTTCCTTGGGTGAAACCACGAATACGATGCGGATCGCCTTCAGTCTGTGCATTTAGCGAGTCCATTGTCCAGCCGTTGTCCGCTTTTGCAGATGATCCGCCAAGTAGTGCAGTACAAACGCTACTCCCTCACTTGGTTTAGCCCGCCTGCTGAAGCGGTTTAGCGGTGTGTAGCGCATGGAGTCAACACGGAAGTGATTTTGGGGATGGATGAAGACCAGTGTTGCACTATTCCGGTCGAATTCATTGCATTCACTTACGCGCTAACACCCTTGGGAAAGCTGTGAACCCTTTACTTCTCCCCTCCCCATCTATGGGTAAATAGCAGAACTAGACTGCGTTCCTAAGCCTTGGAATGAAATGGCAAAAATGCAGCAAAAATCTTCCTCGTCAATCATGTATTGAAAGATACAAGACCGTATAAGCGTTCTTCACGAATAGCACATAACTGGCTGACTGATTAAATGAATACTAGAACCACTATTATAATCCTGATATACTATGTATACCTATATTTGCAACATCTTTATATAGAAACAGATATATAAGTGGAAAATGCAGGATAACAATGGTATTACTGGTATCTTTATCACAATGCTTTACATCATTACACCAAATAGAAAAACGAAGAGATAAACGGTTAAGAGATTTAGCTGATTAAGTTTCCACCGCCTGGAAAATAAATCAGAGGAAAACAGTGCAATTTGAAATAGTCAGAGATCTATTACATGCCCATGAAAATAGAGGAAGCAGAGTCTAGAAAATGGCTGTTTTTTGTGCGGGAAAGGAAACACGGCGAACATGGCCTGTTCGAAAGAGTCTTTATGAAACTCGTAAAAATAAATGGCGATTCATAGTGGATATTACAATAGAGTCACACTAAAGAGGGGTGTGAAAAGCTTGGAAAAATAACTGGATCATTAAAAATAGTTCTGGAATAGTAACATAAGGATTGTACTCGCACTCATTGCAGTTCTCTAATTACTGCTGATGAAACTTGCAAAAAAAATAGAAAAAAAGAACAACTGAAAAACTGTATATCCGAAGGAAGAAGATTAAAATCAAACCTATAAAGCATAGTATTAAAATCTAGGGTAACAAAAGAAATGAATAAATATTTTCAAAATATATAACTTTATCTCCTACGAAATTATTACAAAAATACATCAATACTAATATATTAAGAAAAACGCTACGTCATATCTTGAAGTATGTGATTATAACTCTAGA